GCGTTAGACCTAACTCATCGCTAATTTTTATAATCAACATTAATAACATATGCAACTATTGTCTCAAACCAAAACTTCTAACAAGAAAGCTAGCCAAAAATGTTATCCAAAAAGAATACCAGATGGTTCATTATGGGGCCACTTCTTTCATAGAAATATTACCTCTAAGATGGTCACCTAACAAAATCAATGGATATCGTGGGCACCTAACGTATAAAAGCAATTGTTTACACCTAACAAAATCAATGGATACAGGGGACACCTAACGTATAGAAGCAAATGTTTACACCTAACAAAATCAATGGGTATCTAAGAAAATATCGTCTATAAACAATTGTTTATTCTGTTTGCATGCTAAGATATTGTAAATTTAAGTAAACGTACACATACTAAAAGAACACAAATGCTTAACCCCAAAAATCCTTGGTAACACAACATTTTGGTTGTAGTTTGGCGGAGGGGGAATTAACCTTTGGCTTATTAAATGCTATTTTGTTCTTCGATCATATAGGGAAAATTGTTTCATAGCATATCATACAATGGTCTAAGGCTTATGATAGTTGACATGTTCAAGACTGGAGAGTCGCATGGAAAAAAGAAAGTTTGACGACTATAATAGGTTTGGAGAAGATCAAATTGAAATAAAAATGGAATGATGATGATGGTGGTGCCTTGGGGGGGGGGGGGGGGTGATGTTATGGCTCTATGGTCTACATGGCAAAATAATAATAATGGTAACTTGAGGGGTGATGTTAAGGGTCTAGATTCTACAACACAAGGTCAATTACTGATCATGGTAACATGATGGGTGATGTTATGGTTCTATGGTGTACAGCCTACATGGAAAAAAAAGGTAACTTTATAGTTCTATAGTCTTAGGCAATGCTGTTATCTACACATCTAAACAGTTCTAGGTATATGGCGGACAAGTTTTACCACATATAGTAAAAAATGCCATAAATATGCCATAAACCTAATTAATTTGGTGGCGTATTTAGCAGCCCCATTTATGGATTTTAAAAATCCAACCCCACCATCAAGATAATTTACGACAAAAATACAATATATATATATATATATATATATATATATATATATATATATATATATATATATATATATATATATATATATATATATATATATATATACCGTTATACAGTGTATTTCCCTCTGTAAGTTTTTTCGTTAATGCTATCTGTGGCAGATTTCTTTGCATGAGAAAGAGATTTCTTCAGATGACAAGTAAAAATCTGTGGAACAAATACATAAAAGAAAACGCGAACAAGAGATACTTTTCCCCCGTCAAACGAAAGAGAAATCGTGATGCGTGTAATGTTACATCAACTTTTGTCAGTTAGACGCGACGATTCGCGTGCGGCTAGATGCTGCAGATGAAATCCGAGAGTGTGAGTGGAGATTCCGGGCGTGTCGGAACTATTATCGACTCGGCCAGCCAACTCAGGGCGATTTCCGTGTGGTTTAAAATTATAGTCATCGTGAAATTAACGCAAGCCATTTGAGAAGTTTTAAATTTCATGTCGATTATTTCATGTTGAAGTTTAAAGTCAGTGTCGCTCAGTGGCGTCATTAGGGTGTCACTCCAGTGGGGAACACGGGGAGGGGGGGTGTAGACTTAAAGTGGGGACATGAGGTGAAGAGTTGTAAAATAGCCTGTATACATACAAAATAAACACCACCACACATATTATAAATCCTACCAACATCATCCTACCCAAAACAACTCAACAAGTACAGCGTCTCAAGTACAACAATTTCACAAATACAACGCCTCAACTACATTAAATCGACAACTATAACATCTCAACTACAACAATATCTAAACTACATTAACTCAACTACTACAATATTTCAACAACATAAACTCAACTCAACAACTACATCTCAACTACAACGCAACAACTACATTAACCTAACAACTACACTATTTCAACGACTGCAACATCTTAACAACTACAGTATCTCAACTACAACGCCTCATCAACATCAACTCAACAATTACATCACTCAACAACTACAATATCTCAACTACAAAGACTCAACAACATCAACTCAACACCTACCACATCTCAACTACAACGACTCAACAACATCACTCAACAACTACCATATCTCAAATACAACGACTCAACAACATCAACTAAACACCTACCACATCTCAACTACAACTACTCAACTACAACACTCAACAACTACCTACAACGACTCAACAACATCACTCAACCACTACCATATCTCAACTACAACGACTCAACAACATCGCTCGACAATACCATACCTCAACTACTATAATATCTCAACTATAACGACTCAATAACATCAACTCAACAACTACCACATCTCAACTACAACGACTCAACAACATCAACTCAACAACTACCACATCTCAACTACCACATCTCAACTACAACAACACCACCACTACTACCACCCTACCCCGCCATTGTCTGCAAGCACGCCGTGCCGAGCTAGACACAGGACTCCATTTGCCCTACAGAAACCGGCCTGCACTGTGTCCTGCTTCAGCGCGTGCGCTAGCGGAAATGAGGCGCCACGAGACAACGGTTGACAATTTTTAGTGCGTTGTCTCCCCTAGTTTCTAAATATATCCAGTCGCCGCGAGTTGACGCTATGGCCGGCTGCGCGGACGTCTCGAATAGCGAGTTGCTGCTCGCGTGAGTTGCACCGGGGTGTCGTCTGGACAATGGCGGGCCAAGTAAGGAACAAGATCACAAACATTTCAAACAATCCGGAGAAAACGGCGTTTATTTGTTGTAATAGCTGGAAGGAAATGGAGGCGAGTGTCGCTTTTAGCCTTCTTGGGATCTGGTTGTCCAGGGTCTTGAGTGTTTTGGTTTAAAGAGAGGGAAGCGTTTCACTGGCACTTCAAACTCAGCGATTTCTGAATGAAAACAGAATATCACCATTAAAGTATGGACGTGTTTGAACTATAATACATAGGAATATAACAACATAAAAAACGGTGGTACCAAATACAACTTTGTAATTTTCTTAGTTAACCAATGCGAGTTATACATTGAAATTTCAAGGTGTTATTTAATTAGGGTACGTAAAGCAAGACACGAAATAAACCGCCAGAGTTATTTTAAAACTAGAAGCAAGACGTCCTTCGGAGAGTGTTCTTTAAAAATATCTTAACATCAACAGCACTTCTAAACACCCCCGCACGCCCACACGCACTACAACCGACAAATACCATACCGACCAACACCTCATTACTGTCTTGAAGTCCACCCCCCCCCCCCTCCTACACACCAGACTTGCATTTAAGCATATACCAGTGACCAACCCACTTTCTCGGATAATAAAACATTAGAGTATTACAGTTTGCAATAGTAAAAAATATCGTATAAAAATCGGTCTACAATACTTTAAACAACGAAGTATATGATCCTTCTATAATTAATATAAGACGTATGATGCAAGCTGACCCCAGATTGCCTAAAGTGCGATCGCCCATGGTAGAGTTAAGAAGCCAGTAGTATAGTCTTAATGATGTCTGGGGGTGGGGGGGGGGGAAGGAGACCCTACCCCAAGACAAAATCTACTCGTCAACAACTGTCACGTGTTTATGCAACATCTTATTAGGTGAGTACAACTCACCCTGACCCAGATCTCACCAGTATCATACGATCACTAATCACTCTCTCCTACTGGTTAGAATGGGCGGGCACTAAAACTACGCTTGGTGGGTGTGGGGGAAAGGGGTTGGAGGACTCATAATAGTAGACAATGCTGTCCTAATTAAAATAAAATACATATACAATAGTAAACCAAAGCGTTTCGAACTTAACTAGAGACATGTTTTGCCACTATCAAACATACCTGAATTATACAATAAGAAACGCTTTGATTGGCCCAAACAGTAGCAAGTAGGCTTGGTGCTAAGCACAGTTAGGTTTATGGTTATGTAGAGTGCTAGCCTGCTAACCCTTTAACCTGTAAGTCTCAAATTCAGGTTCAAGTCAGTAAAACGTCCCTGAAAGTAAAGGCCACTAGGCATAGTGCTGACCACACTATCCCTTCACAGACACAGGTGAACTCTACTTCACCCGACCGTCAGGTTTGAAAAGGGAACTTTACTTTTAAGTATTATTTTTACCGATACCAGGGCTAGAAATGCGTATGATATGGTTTATCTAGAAGTGAACTAGTTAACTCGTATTACAAAGTTGAAACCATTCTTTATTTTATCACATCATAAGCACATCATCACGTGATTTTATAAAAATTCCGAACCCCGCGTATCTCATCGCTGTTACAGTATCGCTGGTGTCAGTATCGATCTCATAAAGATGCGACATCTCCGAAAATCCGGAATCGACTACCAGAGACAGTCTACAGGCATGCGCACTGCCCCTCTCGCGCTGCCGTTTGCCCGTTGGTCGCCTGCTCCAGCCACCAAGTGTCAAACCTAATGAAAACAAAACGGACCCCTTTGACGGCAGACGACACAATTCAGTCCTGGATTTCGTGGAACCGACTCGGTCCAAAATTTGACCCGCTGCTCCCACGGATTACTGGTGGGAAAGTTTTATTTTAATGTTTTTTTTTTAATTCTTGAGGATTACTGTGGATTATCGGATTTATTTTTTTTTCAGCGATTTTTGTAATTGCAAGCTTGCTAAAAATGATACGGTGTTGATTGGTGTGTTCATATTAGTCAAACTTTTTCACAAGTTATTTTTGTATTAAAAATTTGGAAAAAAATTAACATAAAAACTTAAGTGCTGTTACAAAGTGAACATTTATTTCGGAAAAAAGTATAACTCAACAAAAATAATTAGCCTACTTTATCTAAATATTTCTGTACTTAGAAACTTTGTTTCGTTTTTTATTTTCTTCAAATGGCCAATTTTGATAGCTGAATTTTTCCTGTGCTTTTAATTTAAACTATAAAAAAACTTAAACTGAGAATGAAAATTTGAACTCATTTTAAATTTTAAAAATCTGGCAAGATGGGTTTCGACAGCGCCAAGTTCGTCACGAGTGTAGCAGACGATAAGAAATGTTTGTTGTGTCACGAGGTACTGGACAACCCCGTGCGGTCCCCCTGCGGTCACGTCTTCTGCTCAGGCTGCATCACCCCCTACGTGCTGAAACACGGACAGTGTCCACAAAAATGTCGCGCGCTCGCCCCCACCGACCTGGAAAACGTCCTGCCCTTACGCGAGGTCATTCTCAACCTCAAGGTCAGGTGCGAGTTCTTCGACCGCGGCTGCAAGGAAGCGATCCGCTTGACGGATTTAATCCGCCACGCGCAACGATGCGGGTTCCGTCCCGTGCAGTGCAGCAACCCGGGTTGCGGCGCGGTGTTGCCCCAGAACGACATCGACAACCACGAGACGGAGACCTGCACGTGCAGGCCTGTAGGTGAGTGCGATAAAGGCTGCTGTCTGATGCTGTACCAGCACACGGCCGACACGCATGACTGCTACCAGGCGCTGAAGGCACTGGTGCGCACCCAGGAGGAACAGCTGTCTGAGCTGAAAGAGAAGTTTGCCCTGGTCAACACCAAGTTCTGCAAGAGGGAGAAGACACTGCTGGAGCAGGTGGCGGCACTCAACAAACAGCTGGGCGACCAGAACCTGGTCTTCAACAAGACCATCAAGGAAGTCAAGAACCAGCAGAACTCGCAGAACGTCGCAGACCTGGAGAACGAGGTGAGGGATGCTTGTGTGGACGTTGGTGTGTGGTTGTTTTGTGTGTGGGATTGTTTGCTGGGCGCATTTGCCTGAGAATAATGGGATGCATTCTTGTGTAGACGTTGATGTCTGGTTGTTTTGTTATAGGATTGCTTTTTTTCTCTCCTTTTTTGTGTGGATTTTGCTACGTAGCTTATTTATTTGTATGGGACGGTGTGGTCAAATGGTAGAGCGTTTGACTTCTAGCCCTAAGGTCTCGAGTTTGGATCTCGGTTCGGACTTGTGACTGTAGGACGTCCCAGAGTCCACCCAGCTTTGATGGGTACCTGACTTAAGTTGGGAAAAGTAAAGGCGGGTGGGCATATTGCTGACCACACTATTCCTTCATATGCCGAGGTCAAGAAACATGAACTCTAGTTCATCTGCCCATTGGGACGCTAGATCTAAAGAGGAACTTTAATTTTTACAACTTGTTCATCTGTAATATTTCACGTTTGGCTAATGTGTCTTCATGAGTGTTGAGTCGATTAGTATATAGTGTTGTATGTTGAGGTGCTTAGTGTGTAGGGTTTGTTTCAGACATTTTGCTGGGGGAGTGGGGGTTAGAACGAGGCTGGGCACTTAAAACTTTCAACGGGGTTGACGTCAGCCAAAGTATATATTTTATATTTAGATCTTTTTCTTTCTATTTCGCCCACTAGAGATGCCTAAAAGAAACCCTTTTTATACTTACGATAATTAGCAGACCAACAATATTCAAATTCGGTAGTACTGGTTGCTTTGAATTTTTTAAATTTCAAAATTAGCAATACCCTTTCTGAATGTTTACAAGGAATATTAATTTTTTAAAATACGAAACAGCCGAAACATGCTTTATCAAGCATGATCGGCCAGTGGAGTGTGTTTTGGATATTATAAATAACGGTTGCAAGTTTACATATGAAGTATTAACATTTTTGTGCAGGAAACTTTCAAAAAAATACTAGATCTATTTACAACTCGAAGATCCGTTAGTGTTTATGTTTAGCTCGCTGTCTTTGGTGACCTTGGGTTGTAAGGGGCCGTCACAACATTCACTTTCGCCGTCAGAAATGAATTCAAAGCGGCCATTAACTATTGTAATCAGCGACCCGGTTAGTAGCTTATGGCTTTACTGTGTGAGCAGAACTCATGTTTTATAGAGTTACGTTTTCTTGCTGGTGTGGCGAACTTGCACAACTCGAAGCTGCGACAACCCGGAGCTGTGCCAGCTCGGAGCTGTAGCAGCTCGAAGCTGTAGAGCCAAACAACGCAACGTTTTAAATATAAATCTACATAATCTATAGCGGATTAGATTTTTCCACACACAAGGAGTATTTTTATCTGGCACCCTCAATAGTTGTAAAAACAAAGTTCGATATATAAAGGGCAGCCTTTATTCTGACGAAGTCCAATGATTGAACGCTTGTCAATACGTTTATTTATTCAGAACTACTTTTCTGTTTTATGTTGCTGGAAGATATAGAATGTATTTAAGCAACCCATTGTTTGAATTTAAATTCTGCATTTAAGAAAAAACCCAGATCCAGTTGAGAATTTAAATTTGGTGTAGCTTAATAAAGATAACAAAGTCGGCTTGATGTGGTGTGCTGATTAACTCCCCTCCCACCTTTCCTAATTACTTCGTGAAGTGTGTGTATGGATGTGTGGTGAGAGATAGTGACCTATGACCTATAGTGCGGGTTAGCTTTCTTATTACATTGTGTAACGACCGGACAGCTGTTATTACAGGTATTTGTTTATGTACAGATTTTTATATTAAATATTTTGTATCTGGGATCATATGTCCTGTCATAGCGTCTACACATACACGAACACATTACAACGTATTACACACACACACATACATACAACAACACACTAACGAACACAATCTCACATTAAGACACATGCACATACACAAACGAACACACACACACAAGTGCAAACACGTAAGCACGCGCACGAACTCACACACGAACACAAACACACTACATCGCGTAAACAAGAAACATATAAACACAAGAGCACACATACAAGAACTCACACGACTCACGAGAGTGCACACTCACTAGTGTATTCACATAAAGAACATAAACATAAGAGCACACGAACACAAGCACAAAAGCACACACACGCACATACCATAATATACACCTTACTATATACACACACAAACACAACAACACACACACGATAATACACACATAAGTGCACACACACATAAATACAACAGCCCACACACACTACATTATCTACATGAGTGCACACACATGTCACATATAAATACAACAGCCCTCACAAATACGATAATATACACATTAGTGAACAAACACACACACCAAACACAACACACACACACGATAATAAACACATTAGTGCACACACTCACACACACACATCAGCCCACACACACCTTTCCTAAACCACGCCACCCCCTCCCCCACAACGCGCCATCTGGCAAACGACCGACCAAAGTTTGAAAATATTTGGCGACGTTTTTTTTTAATAATCTGATAATGGATGGACTGATCGTCTGGCTTGTAATGACGTAATAATTATCCCCCTAATGACCTAATAATGACGGATGTGTAATGACCAAAAGATTGATACTTTCAACAAAGGCTGGGTGACGAGTGAGGCCAATCATTTGTTTTTTTTCACGTTCACATCTTAGATTGTGTACACAGAGGTTAGTTCACATTTGAGATTGTGTACACACAGGCTAGCTAATGTCTTAGATTGTGTACACAAAGGTTAGCTAATGTCTTAGATTGTGTACACAGATGTTAGTTCATGTCTTAGATTTTGTACACAAGGGTTAGTTCATGTCTAAGATTGTGAACACAAAGGTTTGTTCATGTCTTAGATTGTGTACACAGTTTTGTTAATGGGGGGGGGGGGGTGGTGAAGTGCTGAAATTGGCAAAAATCCTTTACGAATATCCCATTATCCGATCATAAAAAAAATTACTTACCTTTTTACAAATGTCGAATTATTCGGTAGTAAATAAAAATGGGTAAATACCTTTATAACAGTGGTTCTTAACCTTTTTGGTGGTACCGAACCCCACCAGTTTCATATGCGCATTCACCAAACCCTTCTTAATAGTTTTATCGCCCGAACTGACAATTTACTATCGGGAATCATATCATATCGGGTGTATGTATTGGCCTCCGCCGAACCCCTGGGGTTCGATCGAACCCAAGTCAAGAACCACTACTTTAAAATAAAAACTTTACAAATTTAAATGCGTTAAAAAACTAAACCCTTTCCTTAGATACAAGACGAAATCGTTAGTCGCCTAAAGACCAATACACTGACTATTTTCAATACCAAGAAGTGGTCAAGGTAGAAAAAACTAATGGAATGGGTAGGAGCCGGACTATGCAGTTCTTGTTAACTAGTTGTTAATGCCACGTGACTTAACAGTTCCCCCCCACCCCCTCCGCCCCACCCTTCCAGTCTTTTTCTCCTCGCCTTCTCCATGGACCGATTCCCAGTTCCCTTCTCCACAATAGCCTTTTCCGCAATCAATTGCTTTATCAAAACTGACATGGTCGACCTAATTTCTAATCAAAGACGGGGTACTCTTCCCTCATTTTCCTCCTACCCCCACCCCCATGCACCCTCCTCCCCCCTACCCCCTCCCCCACGCGACCGTTAAACATCAAAGAAAATTTGCTCTGAGACGAGGTTCGAATTTCCACCCAAAAAAATGTCCCCCCCCCCCTCTCCATCATTTCTCTTTCCTCCTCCTAACTTTCTCCTCCTCTCCTTCCCTCCACCCTTCGCTGTCGTTTTGTCAACTGTTACTGGCTACCACAAGAAACATGAATATTAATCATCCGTGACCTATGCAAATGCCTGGGGTCAGCAGGAGATTGGGCCTTCATTGTGCCATCTGTTCTAAGGCGGAAAAAGTCGCTTCGGATTTTCTGTGTGGCTAGGCACAAGTGGGATTCGATCCGTGGATTATTCACCTTGACTTTATCATCTAATACACCGATCACTTGAGGCGACCTCGTTGTCGAATGTATTGTGACATCTTCGGTCATTTGTGTAACTGTTGACTGATCTATCTTCTACGCTGATACTCGTGTAGTTAGACCACTTCGTCGTGTCTTGACAATCAGCTGTTTTGTGGAATGTTCTCAAGAGCAATTCACTGAGATTTACTTTTCTTTTACTTGGATTATAAAATCAATGTGTCATTGACGGTAGTTTGACATTTGGTGCTTAAGGTGTCATCATGCTTGTACCTGTCAGTTTGAATAGTTTTCTGGTATGTAGCAACTTATGTGTGTACATGTGCTTGTTTATATGTGTTTGTTTACATGTGTTTGTTGACAAGTGTTTGTTGACATGTGTTTGTTGACATGTGTTTATTGACATGTGTTTGTTTACATGTGGTTGTGTACATGTGGTTGTGTACATGTGTTTGTGTACATGTGGTTGTGTACATGTGTTTGGGTACATGTGTTTGTTGACATGTGTTTGTTGAAATGTGCGTGTGTACATGTGTTTGTTGACATGTGTTTGTTGACACTTGTTGGTTTACATGTGTTTGTTTACATGTGCTTGTTTACATGTGCTTGTTTACATGTGCTTGTTTAAATGTGCTTGTTTAAATGTGCTTGTTTAAATGTGCTTGTTTACATATGTTTGTTTAAATGTGCTTGTTTAAATGTGCTTGTTTAAATGTGCTTGTTTACACGTGTTTGTTTACATGGGCTTGTTTACATGTGCTTGTTTACATGTGCTTGTTTAAATGTGTTTGTTGACTATTGTTTGTTGACATGTGTTTGTGTAAATGTGCTTGTTTAAATGTGTTTGTTTAAATGTGCTTGTTTACACGTGTTTGTTTACATGGGCTTGTTTACATGTGCTTGTTTACATGTGCTTGTTTAAATGTGTTTGTTGACTATTGTTTGTTGACATGTGTTTGTGTAAATGTGCTTGTTTAAATGTGTTTGTTTACATGTTTTGTTTACATGTTTTGATTACACCTATCTGTCTATATGTGTTTGTGTGTTTGTTTACATGATTTTTATTTGTTTACACGTGTTCATCTACATGTGTTCGTTTATATCTTTGGTTTATGTTTTGTTTACCTATTTATTTACTTGTCTCTGATTTGTGTATATTTTGTCCATATTCACATTGTTTGGCTTATGTTTTGTCTGGTTTCATGGTATAGAATTATTGATCATCAGATACAGGTTACATGGGCTTTGAGTTGTCTGTCTAAAATCAAGGCGTTTGGCATTATCTAACCCCCCCACCCCCACCCCCGCGAGGCTGGAGGAAAGTGTATGAAAGAAACACCCTGTCTGTCTCAAAGATCTAGTGAAAAATCAGATTTACTTCAGCTGTTAAGACGTTCTACTATAGGCTCATACTTATAATAACATTCTCAAAAAATATAATCACAAAAAAATAAAAATAAACAATGCTATCGCCTCGAAGGAAATGTGAAACCAGTGGTTTATTGCAGTATTCATTGATACGTATTTTTTATTTTTAAATTACGCATAGTTGTACATCAACAGACAATGTATTTTTTTTCTGAATATAGAGGTACAAGACCATAAAAAAAGATGACTTGATGTGATGTATTGAAATATTAGAGATGACTTGATGTGATGTATTCAAACATAACAAATGACTTGATGTGATTTATTGAAACATTAGAGATGACTTGATGTGTTGTTTTGAAACATTAGAGATGACTTGATGTGTTGTATTGAAACATTAGAGATGACTTGATGTGATGTATTCAAATATAACAAATGACTTGATGTGATGTATTCAAACATTAGAGATGACTTGATGTGCTGTATTGAAATATTAGAGATGTCTTGATATGATGTATTCAAACACAACAAATGACTTGATGTGATGTATTGAAACATTAGAGATGACTTGATATGATGTATTCAAACATAACAAACGACTTGTATATTTTTTCCTCTCCAGGCCAATGGTGAATTTGCTTGGCGCAGGATTACACTTCATCGTGACAAGCTCGGGTCTCTGGGGTTCAACATCATGGGCGGATACACGGTAGGTGCATGTTGATAGATGTGTCATTTAACAACATGGGCGGATACACGGTAGGTGCATGTTGATAGATTGGGGGGGGGGGGGTTAACATCATGGGCGGATACACTGTAGGTGCATGTTGATAGATATGGGGTTCAACATGTTGATTGTTGATAGATGTGAGGTTGAACACCATGGGCGGATACACGGTAGATGCATGTTGATTGTTGATAGATGTGTCATTTAGCAACATGGACGGATACATCACATGATTGATGTACGTAACATACGCTCCACATCAATTCATGCAATAAACCCTTTTTAAACCCTGATGTGCTTTTTAGTATCGTTCAACTCAAACAGAGAGCTTAGCTCCAGTCTATTCCCTAGAACTCTATTGAGTCATTTCACTTTTGGCAACAAAAAAAAAATAGCGTTAAAACAAAATAAAATAAAAATTACATTATAAGTCTTCAAATTAAAAAACCCAAATTGTTTAATTTAAATAGCGGAATATAATGAATTTTATAATTTTCAAAACGATCCACAGCATTTAAAAAATCCTCACTCCAATTAAAAAACTGTTTTATCATAGGATTATCTCCCCTTTTTTCTTCAATTAAAAAAAGTATTGCAGTTGGCGAACCGTGAAAGATATCCCATTGTAAATCACATTATTTCGTAACAATGGGATGACAGTGGGGACGACCTTCTGGTTCCATTAAAGTCAAGATAACTTTAATCTAATTCACGCCAAATTTAAGACGTTTTTTTTTTTCTTCTGTCACTAGCCAGTTCCTCTGTCGTCTTCCCCCACCCCCCCCTCTTCTATCATACCGCCGTTTTAGTTTTAAACAAACATAAATATCATTTAAACCCCCCCCCCCCCCCCCGCATCCAGTGAAACCCACAGCCGAGCTCGGTGTTGCGTAACGTAATCCCCGGATCATGACAATGGCGGGTTGGTCGTCTGCTAGCCACTGGTCTGAAAAAAAAACCCGAAACCTTTTAATGGGCCTTCAAATTTTTTTTCACCCCATAATTTTTCACCCTAATTCTTCGAGTCTGGTGTCGGAAGATGAAGTTGGTCGGCGAAGAGAATAGGCGTAAATTGCGTCGAATTTTCCATGCATAAGATGGAGGAGTGCAGTTTGAAAATTTGCAGCTCAAAATTTAAAGTTCTGTTTTAATATGAGTTATTTCCCTTTATTTTTTTTCTTCCCCGAAGTCGGTATTTAAAGATTGGCGTAATTATTTGAAATCTGATAGCACTGTGATGAGATAATGAAGATTTTAAGTGCTGCAAATATTGAGTGAGGTTCGACACTTTGGCGGAGAGAAAAATGCCCTTCTTTGCTGTGTGGTGCACATTATTTTAGTAGCCATTGAAGTCGTTTACATAAATTATAAATTAATTTTATTTGCATATTTTTAAATATTAATCATATTTTTAAGAGATTTTTAAAATATTGTTATTTATTTTTGTCTAAGAAAAATAATTTACATATTCTAGAAATCTTTTCTTGTTTGATTTACACAAAAAAAGAAAGTGAATGTACATACATAATTTAATAATACATAAATTTTTATTTTAAAAATTAACATTAATTGATTTTATCGATTTCCAGATTGAAATCTACCGAAACAAAGCTTTGTTTTTACTCAAATATTTAGGCCATCATTTCTCCCCTCACCCTTCTTCATTTCAGTCCCTTTTCGCAGCCGAAAGTGTGTTAATAATCATTTCTCGCCCGTTTCCCTATTAATTCTAATCCAATTTAAGCCGATAATCTTTCAAGCGTGGTATTAAAACTTGACCGTTATGTTTTTCGAAGCCCGGGTAATCTTCGCAAGGTTTCTGCCCGATTCGTTGCCTCCCTACCCCCCCCCCCCCTTTTTTTTTTGATGTCGTCTGCGCTCTCCATCATCGGTCGTCTGCTAGTGAGCACGTGGCTTGGACGGACCGACAACAATGGCCGCCAGTCAAGCGACACGCCGTGTCCGATGGTCATTGATTGCCCGAACTAAAAATACACGGAGTAAAAAAAAGAAATCTAAATTACACGTAGTCTTGACGTAGTCCTACTCTTTCTTTTTAAAAAGCTGAGGTTAATAATAAAAAAAAATAATACATAATTAAATAAGTAAAAACTAAAACAAAGAAAACAATGACAAAATCAAACTAGAATTTTTATGAATTTGATGCCATAATTTATTTCATATTCACAACTAAACGGGCCTTTGTTGGCAGGTTATTTCATTCCACGACAGAAATTTCACGATATAATGGGACTATTATTGGGCTGGTAAGTAGGTCACAAACCAGTTCTACGGCTCAATAAACCCTGCATGAGCCAAAGAACTGGTTGGTGACCTACTTACCAGCCCTATAGATTGCATATTAGGCAAAGTTACGCATGTGCTGAATGAAACTTAAACTGTCGTTATTACGTTATTACTTATTGTCTCACTCTCAAGGTGGTAAATATGGGATTGCCGGATGTCCAGGTGGGAATTATGGGATGTCTGTCAAGGTGGTGAATATGGTATTTCTGTCAATGTGGGAATATGGGATGTGCCTGACTACCAAGGTGGTGAATATGGAATGTATGTAAAGGTGACGAATATGGTAGTTGAGTCAAGGTGGTAAATATGGGATGGCCGGATGTCAACCGCTACCGTGTCTTGTGCGTGAGTGATCTCGTGCCAGTGGCTCGTGAAGCCTTTTCTCATTAAATTTATCTGCGTCACAAGCAGTTCTCGTCTCGTAGACGAGACTTAACGAGACTTAACGGTGATAAGTTTTTCCTCTACTTTAAATTTTGGTTCATGAATGATAAAAAAAAACTTGGTAAAAAAAAAGAATCCTGACCATTCCTTTTAAAAACTTTGTTCGCTTTAATAAATGTTATTGCAACAGAGTAGTAACTCATAATAACTCCTCAACTTGAAAATCCGTGTTCTTAATTTTTCTGGACAATGGCGATTATTCTTATTATTTAAAAGAGCGACACGGTACAAAAAGTCAGTGAATCAAACGATGTAAAGATTGTTTTTCTTGGACCCATATTGTGAGCTTAGTTGACCCTGAGGGCTAAGGTGATGGGCTTCTACATACAGACAACAGAAGAAAATGGCTGCCGTTAAAAGTTATGGAAAACGATGAAGTTCTTGTTTTTGATTCTCATAATAATGCTGTATGGAAAGTACTTGTATCTAAGCATTTTTTTTCATTTAAAAGTATCGCTGTTATGATAACAAGATTAAGATTGGGAAATGGTTAGATCCAAAATTAACAAATTAATATACTAAAAACAAATTGATACACTTCTAAAACATTCCCACCCCCAGATATCATAGTAGTAATCATAGCCCAGTAACCCCTTAAAATCTTGCTAGGGACCGACAGGAATACACTGGGATAAGAACCCTTGCGCTAAAAAGATCTCCGAAAAAAAACAACAACAAATAACCACACGAATTCTTCAGACATTTTTCCTGCTCAGCGATTGAAGGTCTAACTTGACAGCTTGTCACGAAAACTTGACAGCGAGGATATAATTGGGCGTGGGTCATTATAGTCTCAGGAGGAGGGTGGTCTATCGTGTGACGAAACCAGGTTTGGTGGTGGGGAGGGGAGGGGGGGGGTCATAGGTTGGTGGAGAATTCCCAATTACCGTCAGGTGTTGCCTGACTTTAATGACCGAAAGAGGAACCGGACAAGGACAGAAGACAGTGGCGAAGACAGGGGAACATGCAAAAAATATGTGTCTTCGTGTGTCTTCGTGTGTCTTCGTGTGTCTTCGTGTGTCTTCGTGTGGGACCTAGTGTGGTGGTTGGCGGATAGGCGACTCGACGGGCGACAGTACAGTGGTAAAGTAGTGGTCACGTGGTGTTATTTAAAATAATAAAAAGACGGCTTGATTGCATTCTAACGAAACAATACTATACACAACAGGTAGCTCAAGCTTTCTGCCAATTTTAGTTTCAGAGTTTCTTCCAGGCGCCGCCTCCCCCCCCCCCCCCCCCCCCCCCCCATCAGAAGGATCAGAAGGAAGTCTACTCCCCACCCCGAACTAAATGGAATTTATATAGAAAATAATATCTACTTTTATCAGTGTCCGCCCCCTCCCCCGGGAAAATTTAGTCCGCCCCTCCGAAAATCTCAAGTACCCTCCCCCGGAGAAAAAAGTCTGGAAGAAACACTGGTTAGAATGATTACAAAACAAAGGGAGATTTGAACATAGGTGATGATGAAGACATTGGGTCGAAACGTTGATTTTAACTGTCCTTTGTCAGTGACGTTTTATAACAATATATATATATATATATATATATATATATATTATATATATATATATATGTGTGTGTGTGTGTGTGTAAATAAAGTGAGTAACAATATTTGAAGAATTACAATGAGTGTAAGTACCATACCGTAATTAGGTCAGTGGGGATCAAAATAACTTTGTAATAATTTCAAGATTTATTGAAAGGATCTCTTGTTCAGCTAAAGTATACCGGACGAGACGCCGACGTCATTACCCACAATTCCCCAGCACTACTTATATCTAGACTTCCCGTCTACTGCTACATAACCTCCACTAACACCCCTGTCCACTAACGCCCTACTAAATCCCCCCTGGCCACCGCCACACTATATCCTCCTGATCCGGTAATTTTATTTTCCGACTCTCGACCGCCCCTCGAGATAAGAAATACGTCCGGACATAGAAAATATCCAGGGAGCGAAATTCACGGGTATAAAAATATTCGCCGAGAGAGATGGCGGGGTATCGAAAAAAAACCGCAGGACAGCTTTTTATTTTATTACGGGGCAGATCTGTCCCAGATGCCCCCACGGAGTCGGGGAGGAAAGGGTTTGATTTGGTCCCAGGACTGACCCAGACGGCCCCGGGATTAGATTAAGATCTTAACGTCAAAACTCACATCTGTGGGGCCCTCACTGTTGTTTTTGTCCATAGCCGAGTTTTGCGGTTTTAAAAATATAGAGTTGGGTCTAG